TCCTTGTAGGATTTGATTCTGAATACAATTCCAAATGTACACTATAGTCCCTAAACCCCTTTACAGCATTGGGGGTTGAATAATTTTGGACACAACTGTATATGCACGACAATACATGGCCATACACCCAAATTCAGCTCTTGCCATACAATTCACATGGAAACCTATCACGGTTTCTGAATATAAACTTTTTTGGCCCTAACCCTTAACATGTGCATTACAAAAAAGAATGAATTTTGGTCATATTGGTCCACAGACTCGATTCATCATATGCCCATGCTGTCTGCTGTTACATGGACCAGCAACATACTGGTACATCACTGGACTTTGAGTGGTTATACCAGGATGATGCCTGCAGCTACAGGCATCATCCTGGTATAATTTTTTTCAGCTGGTGGTCGCCTTTCCTATAAAAGCAATCCTAATGGCTAATTAACCACTAAACCACTTTTACAGGCAGCGGGAAGGGATGTCCCCCCTCTCGCCGCCTTCCATGGCTTTCTTGGGTGATCCTGCCAGCTGACCATAGAGATGATCGGAAGAGGAGAGATCTAGAGTCTTATAGAACCAAGAATTCTCAAACGGGTACCTGTCACTGTCAAATGCTATTACAGGAGATATATACATACCCTGTGGTAACAAAGAAAGTGATAAAAAAATTAAAGGGACAGTGTAAAAATAAAATAAAATAAATAATAATTTTTAAAAATCACCCCTGAACCCCCCCCCCCCTCTTGCTCACGTGCAAAGGCAAACTTAAATGATGGTCCAGTGTGGGTATGTATACAGATTTAGCCATGCATGCGAGGTATCACCGCAAACGTCAGGTCAAGGGCAGTAATTCTAGTTCTAGACCTCCTATGTAAATCTAAAGTGGTAATCTGTAAAGGCTTTTAAAGCATTGCCTATGGATATTAAAGATTTATATAGTTTGTCACCATTGCATGGACGTGCGCAATTTTAAAGCATATCATGCGTGGTATCTATTTACATAACATCCTCTTTTATCAAACAATTGGGCACTTTATTGTGTTTTCTGCATTGAAAAACATGTATTGTAAAAAGAAAAAACATGTAAGGGAAAAGTATCAGAAAAGGCTTGGTCTTCAAGTGGTTAGAAGAATGGGTGATGTGTGGCATAAGATTTTAATGTTGGGCATAAAATTCCAGGATTGCAAAAGCACCCCCCCCCCCCAAATGACCCCTTTTTGGAAATGAGACACTCCAAGGTATTTGCTAAGGGGCATGGTGAGTATTTTGCAGATCTCTTTTGCTGCTATAAGTTCTTGGAAAACAAAGAAAGAAAACTAAATGTGTTTTTTCTTTTTCAAACCCTGTGACAAAACATTATATCTGAAAAATACTCACCATGCATCTTATCAAATCCCTTGGGGTGTCTACTTTCCAAAAAGGGGTTATTTGGGGGGGGGGGGGGGGGGTAAAGACTGTGAGAAAGCATGTAGGTGAATAATATTGCAGAAGAGACATTGCATGTATCTACTGTAATACATAGACTGCCTGCTCACAATCTGTTGTAAAACGACTTCAGCTCCACTTTAAATAAATAAATAAATAAATAAATACATACATTCTTTACAATTAGTTTAAGGGTGGCTGAAGCTGGAGGTAATGGGAAATAAAAGAAAACACGCTCATTCTCTTTAATTATTAAATATGGTAAAGTTTGTTGCACGGCACTTCTTCAATATACCCAAGTTTTCTCTTATATTTATAATTTTTTTTTTTATTTAAATATTTTAATATACATTATTTCAAATTACCAATTTATACATACAAACACATTGACATGACAATCAGGATATAAAATTCGGATTTATCTAACATAATATTAAACATATTAACTTTCATCTTAATATCTTATTCCCCACACCCATCCCCCCCTCCCAATGTACAACCTACTTCCCCTCCCACCCCGCTCCATCCCTGACAGCCTAGACTTTGCAATGTTCTACTCATTCTAGAGATCCTAATCCGGAAATATTACCACTTTACTGCTTCCTTTTTCACCGATGGTTTCTGAGCTCTTCTAGCTATATTCTAGAAATTAAATCTGATTTTTTAAATTCTTCCCATTTCCTCCACGTTAACCAGAAAACCTCCATCTTGTCCTCGTCCATATGATAAAGTTCCTCCAATCTATATACCTGTTCCACCTTATCTACCCAACCCTTTATTTTTGGTGCTTCTTGTTCCTTCTAAAACTTGGGTATCATTCCCTTCGCTGCATTCAAATAATACATTAAACCTGAGTTTTTATATTCTTTCACTGAAAGTTTAATACTGTAAAAGAGAACAGTCTCTGGGTCCTTTGGGATATTAACCTCCGTTATTTCTTGAATTAAGCGGACTATACCTCCCCAATATTCTTGTATTTTATCACACTCCCACCAAATATGAAACATTGTGCCTCTACCTCCACATCCATGCCAACACATACTGTAGGTGAATTATCTCCCCTTATTCTATGTGCTACACTAGGTTTAATATACTATCTTGTTATGCATTTATAATTCATTTCCACCTCTCTCATATTTACATTCCCGTGTATTAATCTATATATTTTATATATATAAAGTGCAGCGCTATCTTTAAATATACTAAATACATATAAAGTGCAAAAACTGACTGTTAAAGTGCTCCAAATATTAACACACGGTACTAAATAAATGTGCAAAATCATGCATTTACAAAAATAATTAGTGCAACCCGTTTATTCCAAATCATACAGATAAAGTGCAATTAGTGACAATCATAATCACTCCAACCATCTGTAAATGTGATGGTATAATAAAAGATCTACAGAAAAAAATTATTATAATGTCCAAATGCAACAAAAAAACTTTTTTTAATCTTCATGCATGTGTCACACGTGACCACACTTCGTGAATCCACACTTTAGCCGTGATGGCCTCTCACCTCCTTGCCACGACCCCACAGGGTCAGCTTGCTTTTTAAACAGGACACCACTTTAATAGCTCACCAGGATCTTCCTCGCCTCTTATACTCTATCAGCAGTCTCCTCCTCGGTTCATATATAGACACCTTGGTACGCGAGGAGGATTCTGGGAGCGCGGGGACGTCATTTCCGGCGTGGCGGCCATATTTGAAATCCCTGTATCTTAATACCCATGCAGGAGATTTATAACATGGGGTATTGAAGGCTTGTGAGGAGAAGAATACAAATGTGAGTGGGCAATCTTTTCTATACCTATTTTACAAATAAACAGGATTACACTATGTGAGTCTCTCTTGTGTCTATATATGAACCGAGGAGGAGACTGCTGATAGAGTATAAGAGGCGAGGAAGGTCCTGGTGAGCTATTAAAGTGGTGTCCTGTTTAAAAACCTAGCTGACCCTGTGGGGTCGTGGCAAGGAGGTGAGAGGCCATCACGGCTAAAGTGTGGATTCACGAAGTGTGGTCACGTGTGACACATGCATGAAGATTAAAAAAGTTTTTTTTTTTTGTTGCAAAAAGTTTTTTTGTTGCATTTGGACATTATAATAATTTTTTCTGTAGATCTTTTATTATACCATCACATTTAGATGGTTGGAGTGATTATGATTGTCACTAATTGCACTTTATCCGTATGATTTGGAATACACGGGTTGCACTAATTATTTTTGTAAATGCATGATTTTGCACATTTATTTAGTACCATGTGTTAATATTTGGAGCACTTTACCACAGTCAGTTTTTGCACTTTATATATGTATTTAGTATATTTAGAGATAGCGCTTCACTTTATATATATATATTTATTTACTTTGGTTGGTAAGGAGTTTTGTCAGCAGCAGCTTGGTGAATAGGGCCCCATTCCTAGCGCAGGAAGTTCTTGCATTTAGAATCTATATATTTTCTTTTGCTTTTCCTCATCTACAATTACTCCTAAATCCCTTTCCCATTTCTCTATAAATGGGGGCTTAGTGCCATGTTTAATCCTATAAGAATTTTATATACTTTAGAAACCCTGTGTTTCCCATCTCCCCATGTATCTACAAGTTCTCAAAAGGGTTCCAGTTCTCCTTTGTTCTCAATGGCCCTGCAAGCTTCCTCACAAAGTGTTTTAATTGAAAATAATTCCACTCATCCAATCTCACAAATATTTCACTCTTATTTTCCATTTCCCTATAAGAACATATTTCTTCTCCCGCCATTATATCTCTTAATTGTACATCTTTCTTCTTTATCCACCTGCCTGTGATACTTTCTTTACCTGGGGGGGAAAAACTCTGTAAACCCTAAGGGAATTAACAGTGAATTAAATTCCCATCTCATTTGTTTGTGTAAAAAAATCCCAAATTCTTAAAACATTACGTGTAAACACACTTGTACTGTCTGCTAATCCATGGAATTGTGGAGGTAACCATACAATTCTGCTCAAATTACATAACTTAATGTATTTTCTATTTTTACTCAGCTTTTCCCCTTTGCATCATATGTCCAATCGTAGATTTTAGCCAATATTACTGAGTTGTAATATTTTTTCAAATCTGGTAATCCTAATACTCCATTCACTTGTGACATCATTGCTTACTATCAGGGGCGGACTGACAACTTTGGGGCCCCCGGGCAATAGGAGATCATGGGGCCCCTGTATCCTTGCCCAAACTCAAAAAAGCCTATGAAAAAGGTACCAGGGGCATTTCATGGGGCCCCCTACTGACCCCAGGCCCTCGGGCAGTGCCCCGAGTTTCCAAATGGTCAGTCCGCCCCTGCTTACTACTTGTGAAATCTGTGAATGATCACAGATGTCACATGGTACAAGGCTATTCACAACAGTCTTGTACCATGTTACAAGCTGTGACTAATCTCAGCTCACACAGCACTTCTCAATGGCTGCAAGAATGCAGTCGAAGAGAAGGAGAAATGATTGCTTTTACAGCCTTTATAGATGTAAAAACAATCAATGTAAAAAAAAAAAAACATTTTTCATCACCCCCCACAAGTATACAGTGTCACCATGGTGACACTGTACTACTAGGGTGCCAATATGTAAAAAAAAAAACAAATAATTATAGAAAAATAAAAAAGTTTAAATTATAATTTTTGGTTATAAACTAATTTGTTTTTTTTTTTTACTAAAAAAGATAACAGAATACATTTTGGCCAAGATTTATGATGAAATACTATTTATTTGCAAAATGTTATAAGAAAAACACTTTTTTTCAAAATGTTTGTACATTTTCATTAACATAGCAAAAAAAAATTAAATCCCAGTGGCGAATAAATACCACCAAAATAAAGCTTTATCTGTCTCAAAAAAATGCTAAAAAATTAATATGGGTACACTGTTGCATGACCGCGCAATTGTCATTCAAAATGTGATAGCACTGAAAGCTGAAAATGGGCCTGAACAGGAAGGGGGGGAAAGTGTACGGACTGGAAGTGGTTAATATTGGCAACATTTTTATGAAACCTACATTTACCACTATATAAGAAGTTTGCTGATACTCAAACCTAAATTATTTACTTTTTATTTTATAGGGGTCATCAAGATGCCTGACTTTTTGACAGATAGGCAAGTTAGGATTTAGCAAAGTGTTGTCTTATATGTTCTTTCTTGTTTTCTACACACTTGTTTACAGTACTTATTATTTTATAGCCAATTGATCCAATAATGTAACCAAATTTGTATATTTTTTTTTATTATATGCTGATTTTGTGCTGACTTTTCTTCCCGCTTTCATTTTTTGTTGCTGAATACATATTGTGGATATTTGTTTCAAGTTAGTATAGTGTTGTTTCAGGTACAGTTTTCAGTACACCCTAGTGTCAATGGCATCTTACTCTTCATAGATTCAAATTAGGTGGAACTATAAAAAAATGTGATTGTACACTCTCACAAAATATTTTTGTGCTTTAAAGAAAACAAAGGCACACATGCACTATCCTCAAAATCATTGGATTCAGGTGTTCCAATCACCTCCATAGCCACAGGTGTATAAAATCAAGCACCTAAACATGCAGACTGCTTCTACAAACATTTGTGAAAGAATGGGTTGCTCTCAGAAGCTGGGGTGGAGAAACTTGACTGGCTTGCACAGAGTCCTGACCTCAACCTGACAGAACAACTTTGAGATGAATTAGAGTGGAGACTACAAGCCAGGCCTTCTTGTCTGATTTCAGTGCTTGACCTCACAAATGCATTTCTGGAAGAATGTAAAAAATTACCATAGACACACTCCTAAACCTTGTGGACAACCTTCCCATATGAGTTGAAGCTGTTATAGCTGCAAAAGGTGGGCCAACTCAATATTGAACCCTATGGACTAAGACTGGGATGCCATTAAAGTTCATGTGCATGTAAAGGCAGTCGTCCCAATACTTTTGGCAATACAGTGTATTCTCCATGTACACAAAGTGAATAATCAAATGAACATACAGGGGTTAGACAAAAAAAAAAGGAAACATTAAGTGATTTGCAGGTGTGAAAGCGATGGCATGTTTGTGTTGAAATCGGAAGTGGTGTAACATTCTCTTCCTTCCGCTGTGTGATGAGACACCTAGCTAACAGGTGGGAAGCCTCACTTTTGTCATTCACTGCGTGCGCTACTAGTGATATGGAGTCATGGGATTATAAACTCTTACAAATATATCATTGTGCTTCATAGAAAACAAATACACACATATTCTCCATGTATGCAAAGTGAATAATCAAATGAGCATATTGTACATACAGTAATGTGCTATTTCCTATGTTCCATAAACCACTTGCAAAACAGTTAAACTGTTTTTTCTCCCAAAGTGCTAAAGTCCAAAATAAAAATGTTCCAATTAGGTTCTGCTTCTGTAAAGTACTGGAAGTTCACAACAAATCAGTGCTCCACAACAGTTATAGTGATAGATAACTCCATTGTGTGTCAAGATCAAGTATATTAAATTCTGCTAGTGCCTGTACTATAATGCACCTCTTTTTTGGGGGGCACTCTTTCCCCACTTCCCCATTGACTTACTAGATCTATAGACCCCTTAACTTAATAAGCAGGTATAGTACATAGTCACTTGTTATTGTAGCTGACCATCACATGGATCCCCCTCAGGTTTGCTCTTCCAGCTCCATACTGGCATATATCAAAGACAGAAAGAGCTAACATGCTATAATACTGTTTATTTAAGTTATTAAAAACACTTAAAAACAATACTAACAACTCACATTTTCATGTGCCCTGCCTGGCACTTAAAAACACTTATAAACAATGCTAACAACTCACATGCCTGGCATTCTGGTTTCTATATAAAAATGACTCTTGCAGGAATGCAGCTGTACCCGCTGCCATGTACAGGATGTGGTGTGCATTTCAAATAGCAGAAATTATGTATCAGTCTGTAACCCTTTCCAGCACGTTTTATCATTTGTGGACTCTGTTGTCATATATCAAAGATGAGGAGTGATAATTATTGTTATAAATATTGTTGTTGAGAAAAGAGCTCACTGACCAATATGGAATGAAAATTTCCTCTACCCAAAAAAAATAATTCTTCCTGCAGCAACTTAGTTCATCCAGAGTGATGCATTTATTGCGTCCCAGCACCAGACAGAGTCCACAGAGTGTTTGTAAATAATACCATGATCAGAAGCCTTTAATGTACCCAATCCTGCTCTGATGATACATTAGTAGGCATAGAGATATTCTACCTGTCCAACATAATTTCAATCTATATTATGCACCTAGGTAGCTTCCATGCATGCAATTATGTATAATAGGCCCATGCATCCATAATAATGATGTTGAGTCAGCAATAAAAAAATCTTTTTTTGATATACAGTTTCTACCACCCTTCTAAAAAACAACTGATTGGTTGGTCAAGCACTTTTTATCTCAACAAGTAAAAGACCCTACTTGCATTTTACTGAAAGCAACAATTAAAACCAACAATTAAGCTACAGTGTCTACAACCCCTGTTACCCAGGACAGTGAACAACTGAACATCTGACCAATTAACATTTTTCTCCTTACAGTTATACAGGTACTGTCTGCATGTTGAGCAGAATCAGCATAGGAATAGTCTGCCACCTCTATCAATTTTGATGACCTCCCTTATAATGTGTAAATGGGCTTGCCACTGGTCTATATATGTTAATTCAATATCTTTCTACATACATACACACACACACACACACATATATACAGTATATTACACACAATATACTACAGGCTCTTCCTCTCTTTGATATATGCAGGTATGGAGATGGTGAAACAAACTTGAGGGGGATCCATGTTGTAGTCATATAAAATAACAAGCAAATATAGACCTGTTTAATAAGTTAAGGGGTCTATAGAACTGTTGAGTGCATGGTAAAGAGGGGGAAGAGTGGACACAAAGGAGGAGGTGCATTATAGCACAGGCACTAAAGGAATTGAATACACTTCATCTTGACACACTGGAGTTATCTATCACTATAACTGTTTTAGAGCATTGATTTGCTGTGAACTTATGGCATTTTGGAACAGTAAACATTCTTTGGAATACTTTTATTTTGGACTTTGGCACTTTGGAGGGAAAAAGTTTCTTTCTGTTTTCTGTATATGCTTTATGGAACATTGGAAATAGCATATTATTGTATGTTTATTTGATTATTCACTTTGGGTAAAGAGTATGTACAGTATGTATGTATGTATATTGTGTTTTTGAAGCACAATAATATACTGTATTTGTAAGAGTTTATAATCACATTTGTGATAGTGCTGCATGGTTTGAATTGATATATTTTAATATCTAGTGTTCATATATTTGTGTTCAATTGCTAAGGGGGTCCACATAAAGACTAAAGTGCAGGAGGATTATAATTTATTCATCTTACTCTTCATGTGCTCCTTATCAGTTTGCTATGAATTACCTTTCTCTTCAGTGACTTTGTTATGTAAAAGTAACTCTTGCCACCAGGCCCAGCTGAACATGCAAGTCGCTTACTTATGATCTCATTTTAGTGGAAAAGGTTTACTTACAGTACAAACTAAAATGTTTGGAGCTGCTACCACATCTCAGTTTGCAGATAAAATCTAAACTATTAAGTAGTTACAAGATTACAAAAAATAGCTCAGCTAATTGTTAGACAGCCATAAATCATATTGTATGTAGTAATATGTGATATTGAAATATAGAATTAATGACATTGGTCACAAAAACACTTAACAATGTTCACTCAGACACAAATGTTTAATCCCCAGAATCTTTAAGTCGTCAATCTCCTTTGGGAACAGAATTACTATGGGGTCTCAATTTATACCAGTAGCTTAATGATTAAAGATGAAAACTTCTCCTCCGAGGTATCTGATTTTTAAACTCCTCATTTTAATGTAAATCCTATTATTAAAATAAATTCTGTTTTTTTAGTTTCACATGATAATTGGATATATTTCTTCACAGTTCACACAATGAATCTAATGGAACAAGCACAGAAAATATTCATGCTGATAATGTGTGACAAAGCATTAAAGTGTATGTAAACCCTAACAATAAACTACTTTTATTTCCTCTCTTTTGGCTTGTTAATACGCCATTGAAAGTATTGTTATATATGTTTAATAAGTATAATAAATATAGAAAAATAGCTGTTGATCCTGATAGAAATTCAGTGATCTTGAAACTTCCTGTCTACCCAGCCTCTCAAGCAATGATAACAGCCCTGCCTAATATACCTCTATGAACTAAAGAAACCCTCCCTCCCATATTATATAGAGCTGAGGAGAAGAGGTGATCTGTAGTCTAAGGCCCCATGTACACGGGACACTTCTGAACGATGGAAACTGACTACTGGAAAATGTAGATTAAAAAACGTCTGTTTAGCCGCGTTTGAATACTGTGGTTATGTGCTTTTATGCGTGTTTATGAGCATTTGCATTTAAAAGCGTTTTTTTTAAATAACCTCAGGAGACCTTCCAAAATGCCCAGAAAGCACTGAAATACAGTAAAAAAAAATAACTATGTCAGACATTTTGACAGAAATAGAGAGAGCAGAAGCAGAGAGAGCAGTATTTGTTGTGATTAGCTGTCTTTTTTTTGTGGTGTTTGGATGTGTTCCAGCTCATTTCTGTGCAGAAATTATTGCAGCAGTGTCTAACATATTTCCTTTCATGCAACACCTCAAAGTATGGTGTACCAGGTCCATTTGAGTACTGGGAAAACACTTTGCATGCATTTTTCATGATAAAAAAGGCTCTGGACAGCATCTGGAAATGGAAAAGTTACAAAAAAATGTAAACGCCTATAAACACGGTTAGACGTGGTTAGCTGTGTTTAGCTGCGTTTACAAGCATTTTGCGTTTGAAACGCTGATAAAATCTACTGCTGAACGCAAGTTTTCTGCATTCAAAAAAACGACTGTAAACTCAACTATAAACTGTAAACTCAACAAAGATGTGTAGATGGACACATAGGAAAACATT